CAAAAGAATCTATTGATCAAGTAAGAAAAACAAAAGAATTTTTTTTTTCTTATTAAAAATCAATTTTTGTTTTAGTGTGTAGAAATGATGAGTCAATATACAAGAGAAATTCTTACTTTAATCAAAACTAATATTGTAAGTTAATAATTTCTAAATTTATTCAATTAACTATAATGATATTTAACAAAAAAAAAACACAAACTAGGATCCTGGTGTAATCTGTCATTTGGCACATATGTGTAAAGAAGCGACAATTATAACACGAGTAAAAATTGACGATAAGAAATTAGATGAAAAGAAAATTATAAATTTTAACAATGATAAAACAATCCGAATACCTATTGATGAAGAATCAAAAATGTTATGTAATGTAATTGTTCGTGCTACACATGATCTTCATGTTAATCAACATAAAAATCGAGATGAAATTCAAATATTTTTAAAAGATGATTGTCAAAAATTATCAACAAACGAACTTGTACGAAAGGTAAAAAAAAAATATTTTTAAATAATATTAACAAAGAAAATTAATCAAAATTTATTTATCTAGTGTGAAGATTTAGTTGAACAACATAGTATTGATATATATGGACATGTTACAAGTAATATTGTAAGTAATAAAAAGACAAAAAAAGAAAAAACAAAGATTTAAATCAATAAATATGATAATTCATTTTTTTTTTGTATAGGAATTATCAAAAGTTTGTGATTATATGGATAATTTTGTTGATCATTCTGCTCTTCAAGTAAAAAAATTATTTTAAAATTTATCGAAATTTTGTTTTTTTCTGCTTATTAGTCTCTTCCAAATGTACATTGCGAATTGTGTACATTTGTTTTAAAAACAGCTAAATATATGCTTGATGCTAAACATACAGAAGTAAGAAAATCAATTGGATGGATTTTAAAAAAAAAACCATAAATTTTATTTTTTATAAAAGGATAAAGTACTTCTTTATATTGATGAACAAATATGTTCACGTTTAACTGGTGCAGCAAAGAAAAATTGTAAAGAAATAATTGAAACAAATGGAAAAGATTTAATTAATAGTATTCAATGTGGAACAGTAAGGATTAAAATAATAATAATAAGAATATTTATCATTTTTTTTTTTTCATTAAATTTTTTATCTTTTAGAAATCAATGCTTCTTTGTACTCGTTTTCAAATTTGTATCGATAAAGTTCTTGATAAATCAAGTTCAATAGAAAAAGTAAAAATAAAAATTGATAATTATTTAAAATAAAATATTATTTTTAGAATGAAATGAATTCATTTCTTAAAGAAAATATTTGTAAAAATCTTGGATTATTTAAAGATGCTGTAAGAATTTTTCATAGAATCAATATTATTTATCTTATATATTGTTCTAGTGTAATGCATTTGTCGAAAAAGATGCTAATGGTCTTATGCGTACACTTGCTAATGATATGGTATGTTTTTTTTTTAAATAATAGATTAATATATATGAGCATTCGATGTCGGATCGGAGAAGAAGTTTAAAAAGTTAAAAGCATCACAAAAATGGAAAAAAAAGAAATGTTTTCTAATCGATTTTTTGATAAATTTCATTTTTCGTGATACCATCTTAAGTAAAGATGGTAGAAAATGCAACGACCTTTCATTTTGTTCTCTTTAAAATGACATTGTTGCTATCATAATTCATCTATGAAATACATTAGAAAAAAAAACTCTGTTAGCTATTAAAATCACTATCTGGATTTGAGCTAGATGAATAACATTATAAAACAGTATCAAGTATACGTTGCCGTTAAACATTTTTCCATTATTTTATATGTGTATTTTTCTTTATAGGAAGGCGATGTTCTTTGCCGTATATTTGGAATGTGTCCAAAGAAAATGTCATTTCTTGATGATTTAGCTATTAATGATGTAAAATTTTGAATTAATTTTGAATTAAAATGTATACATATATTTTAGGATAAAAATAAATGTCAACGATGTATTGATGATTTTACACGACGAAAACATATTGCTGAAAAACTTGTGGTAAATTATTTAAATACTATTTTTATTTTATTTTATTAAATCATTTTTTTTTGTTTTAGAATCATTCATCTGAATTTCTTCATCATCTTTGTGGGCAATTACCTGACAAAGATGATGTATGTATTTTTGAAATGTTTATTTTATTTTTTTCGAAGTCATTTTCTTTTTTAATTAAGTGTCTCAAAACAGTTGATGAATCAATAAATGAACTCGTAAATTTCATTCGAACATTGGTATATATATATATATATTTGTTAATGAACAATTAACTGAATATTTTTTGTTTTATCTTTAAGGATCCACAAGATATTTGTATAAAATTAGATTATTGTAATTCAACAATGTTAGCAACAATCGAACCAATTCAAATTAGTTCAACAGATGATGTAATAAGTGTAAGTATAGTTTGAGATTTGTTTAATTTTCATTTTGTTGTTAGTTAATATCATCTTTAACGAGAGATACACTCAATTGTACTTTATGCAAATTGGCATTTGGTAGTATAAAAAAAGCTCTTACAACAAATACAACAGAGGTAGATTTTAATATATAGGCAATATTTATTAATTAGAAAAAAAAAAAAAACTTATTTTGACTTTTGATAAGTTTCATTGATATAAATTATATCAGTCGTTTTTTTTCTTTTACATTTTAGCAAGAAATTATTCAATATATTAAAGTTGAAATTTGCTCTAAACTTGGAACATTTACAGAATTGGTATGAACTTTTTGTTTTTTTTAATAATAAATAATTAATAAATTATTGAACATTTTTATTATAGTGTAATAAAGCAATCGAAACTGAAGGTCCAGCTATTTTGACTATGATATCGAAAGATATTGATCCAAAACAAGCATGTACTATTATGGGTATTTGTTCGGGAAGTTCTGCATATGAAAATGTATAAAAATAAAGTTTTTTTTTTTTTTTGTTTTTGATAAATTATTTTGTTTAGTGTAATGATAAATGTGAATGTTGTATGAATGAAATTGAAATTCATGAAGTACAAATTGCTACATTTTTGGTAAAAATTGAATAATTTATTTTTGATGAAAATAAATATTTTATTTTATTTTTATAGCGATCAATAGTTGAGAATATAAAAACTTTATGTCAACGTATGCCTGGATCTGATAAAGTATGATCGTTAAGAATGATAATACGAAGGAGTTTTGTGGGTTTGTTTTTTTTTTTTTTAGTGTCTTGAAATGACTACAAAATTTGATACAAATGTCAATCAAATTACTTCACGTTTTGTAAGTAAAGATTAATAATGTTTGTGAATTTCGAATAGTCTCTTTTGGAATATAGAAAAAAAAAAGCAAGATCTTGATCTTAGACTACATTTAAAGAACTTTA